AGAAAGTCATTATGATTCTATAGACACAAAGCCACGTAGACGTTTAAAAAGCTTGGACCTATCAACAGAGCAGGACGCTAGCGGCAGCGAAAAAATTGGAATCTCGAACTTGAGTAACGGCGAGCGTCAGTCGTATGAACAGCACGTAGGCAACCAGGATGGCGGAGAGCTGCATTCCGTACGCACGGACTTTACTGGTTCCTCTATCGACTGTAGAAGGAGTCACAGCGATCGAGATAATTGTTCGGAATCGTCGTCATACTTCACGGACAACGACAGGCCTATTTCAAGTTACAGTGATAATTCCACGATACCGTCAACAGATACCGAAGATGTTTTGAAGGACTTGCCAAATAAATCAAAATTTCACAGATCTCCTCAAAAATATGCCACATTAAACTTGAGGAGACCAAAATTTATAGATCTTAAATCGTCTAATATGAAAGAAAATCCTATGTACGGAAGTTTACAACGGAACAGAATAGGTTATCACTCTGAACCAAATACTCCTCTGACTGACGAACATATAAGCTTTCAAGATGATCCTACTATTCTCAGTGAAGTTAAACAAATACCCAGAATGCCCCTGCAAAATAATAGAAACGGTTTCAAGAGATCAGTAAGCGAAACAAACGGGTTTTCAAAACGACTTAACTATAGGCATTCCTTCAGTGCTGACTTTAGACCACAAAGAAGGCCTCATAAATGCTGTGAGTGTATAACTGGAATTCCAGCTGACGAAAATTCTGAACAAACATCGTCGCGTCCATTATCAAGAACATTAGGAACTCTATACGAATCACAGGACCCAAAAGTTGGATGCCAAACCATACTTCGATCTAAGCCACCAGTGCCGTGGTGGGAATTGGCTATCAAAAAGTCCCGCTACAAAAGCTGTCCAATTTTAGAAGAGGTGAGTTTTTTTATCTATTAATTTGTAAATATCAGTTGTTGTAGAGAGATATTCTGTTCTGTTAAAGCGTGATTGTACAACTATTATTTTATCTTATGGGAAATAAGAAGTACCTACACAATGTCACACAATTAGTTTCAACAATTATCTCACTGGGAAAGCAGAAAACCGAGGTGCGGTTTTTATTCCCTGGTATTCAATGGAATGAAATGGTATAATAGTTTGCAATAGAAGTGTAAAACCGTATCACATCGAAAAATCAGCTAGGGGAGAATACTAATGAGTGACGTAGCGTGTTCACCTGACATCTCATGGGTGGGGTGTAACGTCCCCTTAAATAGATTAAGCAGGGAGTGTCATGTCGTATTTCAATTTAAAGTTTTTTAAAAAATTACACCGTTTTCGGCTTTAATTTCCGCTTATCTATTATATTTAAGTACGATATGAGTTTTATAATCATGACATAGACACTTTTCTATAAGCGTAAATGAAAGCAAGATAATCATACTTTGATTTGATTCGCTTTCGAAAACGAACTTCCTTAAAGGTTAACAGGTGTTTTGAACGGCGCGTCGCGTTCCGCGCGCGCCTCAAAGAGCCATCAGACCACCACAGATGGGGTCCAATAGGGCCGATGCCGATTCGGAGTCGCGGAGAACCTAACGGGTAACCGGGGCTCCGGCTCGACGTGCAGGAGAAGGAACGGGGTGTTTTTAGTCATAAAGAGTCTGACACTCCCTCCCGCCTCACCCAGGCGGGTCATTCGCAGTCGATATGATTTTCCCCCCCTTAAAAAAAAAAAAAAAAAAACAGGTGTTTTGAACAGAAAAAAGTCTTGCTCAGCATCGCTGAGAACCTTTTGCTATACTGCCATTATAAAGTATAATCGTCCAAAAAAACCTTACCTGACTTCCGAGGATTTATCAAAAAGGTCCATTCTCATCCTGACTGACGGTCAGGTGTTGACTTAATCGTTCACCAAATCCCATTCATTGGGTCCATAATAATATCCTTTCTCACGATCCCGAAATAATGGTATCATGGCAAGGTCAGATTTTTTAAGGTATCTCCTATAACTTAAGAGACGTGGGATACATAATTTAATAAATATGTCAAATTCCTATTTTAGGATAAAATAAGTACCTATTTATTGCAGACGGGAAAAAAATATTTTCTTGCGCTTTGGATCTTAGCTAACTACTAGGAAAATTGCCGGTGTAGTTAAAGAAAATACTGCGATTAATATTAACGAGCATTCGTTACAGTAGTTTGTAGGTAGCACGTATAAGTACATTGGGATCGAGCGTGAGATAACTATCGTTCCAAACGCCTGCGCGTCGCAACTTCAGATGTCCGCGAAGGTGGTGGCCACTGCTACGGCACACTTTCCTAACGCAACTGCATCCGCTTATACCATTTCTCTCAGGACTTGTTTTATGGGCTTATTGTTCAAAAACTTACGCTATCTTCAATTCAAGAATTTATGAAGGCAACAATGTCCCATTTTAAATGAAATGTCAGAGCTATAACTGAAGCTTTTGTAGAAATATAGTCGATGATAAAATCTTTGATGCAACCTTATGGTGATGAAGCATGTTGTATCATGTCCGTTTTATCTTTTAAACGTGCATCTATCTTCAACAATCTGAATGTAACAACTGAACCAACAGTACTTCCAATACAGCCTTTTTAATTTTTGACGGTGCGGTACCGAATGCCGTACACATAAATTGACCGCCGACATGCAGCCCAGATATGTCCAAACCGAATAAGGAAGAGTGCACTTGAACAAATAATATCTCCTGTCTTGGACCAATGTCTCTCGTAAAACACAGCAGTGGGATGTAGTGTGGGTCTTAAATATCACCAGAGGGACGTGTGGCTAACACCTACTCAATCTTTATTTTGTTATCGAATGTATTGTGCCCGCTTACATGTTCTCTAGAATTATGTTGTCATTTACTAGGATTATCTTAACCGTATGCATATGTCTTAATACTGTTGTAAGAACCGTACTTTGGAATGTTTTATTGTTAATAAAATCTCTTCGTTTGTATTGTTATTGGGTATCGAAAACTTACGAAAGATGTTCGGTGTTATTTATTAATCGTAAATTTTCGTATCTTCAGCTTTTATATCGATATTGCTTTTTGATATTGGCGTGAATTTGGTTTTTATTTTATTTTTCACAAATAACCGAAATAAACCAGTTTGACATGGAGTTTAGCGGTTACAGAATTCTTATTAATACAATAAAATTCACTTCAGTTAATTTATATTTTTGTGCATTCCAATAGACACGCAGATATTAAAATATTAGAATCATAAAGAAGTTCCGGACAAAGAAGTTATTATAATAGGACTAGGACTTGTTATAAGTCAACATTTTTTTTTCTAATTAAATTCAGACCATCTGCCCATCAGTGGATTAGAATTTCCAACGGCATAAACCTCCTGTAATATTCACCTGCGTCTATAAGAAGATAATTTCAATGTCCATTTGCGAAAACACCAAGACAGTCGGACGCATTAAATATTTCGCAGTAAAAACTCTCCCGGGCACACTCGACATAATTCTTTCCTTACAGAGGACTAGCAACTATTTGATCGTGTCATTAAGTTCTTAAAGCGCGGCTGTTTCCGCAGCTGTTGATTAATAATTAGTTTCCACCTGTCTTGTACACTTTTATGGTTCCATGATTGAGAAACTTATTGCTTTACTTGAACAAACGTTGTCAATTCTATTGAGTGCGTAGATAGTCTTTTTAATATCTGCTTATGATAACATTATATATAGTATCCGGTATTGAAACATATCTAATATCTTTTGTACCTAGATAACGTATCCTAGGGATGTTATCAAACATTTTTGTTCTGAAAATTTTGAATACATCGAGATGAATCATTAGGTACTTATCTCATATTCGTAAATCTGATAATCTTCAAAAGGAAATGTAGGTAATATTTTACTATCTGATAACTACAATTTAAATAATCTTTATTAACATTTAAAATCTCGATGAAATTCTAAAGCATGTAGTTAATGATCCTAAGCACAAATGCAAAATCGTTATCGTGGATAGATATTAGAAATTATATTATCAGCGAAGGCCCTGATCATCGGAGTTTCACGAACCGTAATTGCAGACAGTAATGTTAACTCGTTAACTTCGGCACGTGTACAAGGTGTCTCGTGGAGAGATCTATCAATAACGCTCCAGCACTGTAATTGGCTAAGCAGCGTGCGCTGTGGCAGGTGTATACTCCTATTAAACGATGCATTTAAATTGAATTTATTTTTATTCAAGTTAAACGACGGAATGAACAAAAGGAAGTAGTCTTCGCATTTAATTTCTGAACAAAAGAATTTATACGTATAGATAGCCATCGTAGGTGTGTTTACATACATATTTTCTTTAGGGACCGGGGACGTTACCCCTGTTTTAATTTCGCTGAGTGCGCTCCCGCAACGCAGCAAACAAAGGGTCCCGTGACCAGCTACACCCACGACAACCGTCCACTAATACTGTTACCGTCCTATAAAGCTATTTATTTCGATGAGTCACTTTTACAGTTCATAAAATGTTTATATCCAATATTTACAACGACGTAACTAAGGTAAAATGTGATGTAAGTAATTATTTTGTCGTCAAGGTGGTACATTTAACCGGTTTCTTGTGACTGGAGAGCAATTGGTGTCATTATCGAGCTAAGGATGTCGAGCTGGATACATAATAATCTCACCACGCAACTAACCGAAGTTAGGAGAGATCTATGTCGGCAGTCGGGCTGTGGTCGCTTCTGATTACAAGCTAAACTGAATAGAAATTACAGTTATAATGCGGTTGAACTGCCTGGAGGAAGCTTTAGGGCAACCGTTAATTAGCCCAGAGTTTAATGAACTCACCTACCTATTTAGTTTTCAAATAAAAATAATAAAATAATTAACGAATATCGTAAATGTTTGGTTTACGAAAACTTATGCAGTTTTATGATATCTTTGGTGAAAGGCCTGTGATGTAAAGGAATAGTCAGGAATCAGGATGCATCAAACCTCAAGGTAAACAATGTGTGTATATTGTTGCAGGCTCACGTGGTGTCCGCCTTCGAACAGAGTCTATCCAACATGACGCAACGCCTGCAGCAGCTCACGGCAACCGCAGAGAGAAAGGTAATAAACGAAATTTCCGTCGTTAAATCACACATCCTTTAATTTTGTTTTATTGCTCATTAAAACTTTACTACCGCTGTTAGATAATTTGAATATCTACACAAGATTTCCGAGTTAACGATACAACGAATTAAAGATCTTAGCATCAATGTATGGGAACGCTCAAAGCTACTAAGTATAGCTGTTCCGACGGCAGACTAACCGGTTCCAACGGATACAAATTACTTTCTTTTAATTATATGTTTTATTGTTGTTTTAAGTACTTCGGATGTGATCTGAAACTTTTTATTTGTTTTAGGATTCGGAGCTAACAGAGTTACGTCAAACTATTGAACTGCTGAGGAAGCAATCAATTCAAGCTGGGCTGACGACGGCTCATATGCAGTCCATGGGTATTCGGGCGGACGGCGTTAATGTCACCGGACCGGTAAATATGATCTTAGCACTAACATTTATGTAAACACTAGCTATATAGGTGCGTAAAATAAAAAAAAAACAAACAAACAGAGCGGAGATACGGAACTAAACAAGTAACACGTTGTCTTCTTCTTCATTACAATATTATGAAATATTATTAATATTCTAAAAACAGCCTATGAAATCAAACATTTTAGTCACATATTAGTGTACCGTGATTAACGATCTTTTATCATGTCTTTAACCACAAAAAAATAAACGATTGTTTGAATATTTAATTGCGCTCTATGTTGCAACGTCTTCATTTACATTCGTATTCCAATGTTGTAACTTGGTACGGTGTCCAATGTCATCTATCAATCAATGTACATTATGCCAGGCATGAGTTGCAATAAGACTAACATCATTAGCATATAGTCAAACATCACATACGGGATGTAAAGTCTGCGTAGAAATACTTGTACTAATATCAGAATCGGGACGTTCGAGGTCCAATAAGCAGAAACAAATAAGGCAACGATAGCATTTGCATTAAATTGACCGTCAATAGATCCGTCCCTGTTCTACATTTGAGACGCGCCGAGAATAGACAAGTGACATGACTTACTACCTCCTTAATATTGTACTTACTTAAAGTACAGTCGTAGTGATAATACGTGAGTCATTGTAAGGGCTATTTTTGTTCAATTAGTGATGTGTACACGCAGTTCGCTGCGTTCGCCCAGGACAGAATTAGAAAATTAAGATTCAATTTTAATAGGGAATATTTATACAGGTTATATTTAAGAAAATTGTTTTTGTAGTTATATTATTTATGATAGAAAGTTGACCAGCAGTCTCCATGTAAACCGTAGTTACAAAAGGTGTGTCATAATAAGAACTGGTCATTATAAAAGAATTCGTAAATTGACAAATGTATTTCTATCGTGACTGTACATCGTGAACTATTCAAATTGATACAAGTATGTATTATGATGTGGTTGTGAAACCTATTAATGATAATTAGAGAGAGTGATAAATATAGCGGAGGTTCTGAATGTACACAAAAGCTTGCTGCCGATGTTTGGCTTACAGTACGTTTATCGTGTTTGCATCAAACATTGCACTATCGGTTTTTAATCGTTTTGAAATATCCATATGTATATAAACATTGATATGAGTACGCATAGACACTATTTATAAATAAATATTAACATTTAAACAGGTTTCGTGCTACAGTAGAGCCTCTGTAGAGCTTAAAGGTTTCGTGCGAAGTCAATGCTATTTCTGTCGAAATATCTAAAGTTCAGGGACACAGATTAAACTTTTTAACGGTATAATGTAAAAAATTATAAAGTTACTTAAATTTTACTTAGCGGATAAGTGGATAAAGTCGTGTAAGTTAGTACCTACTTACGCGCAGTGTAGATGACCTCAAATTACATATGCGTTCCGTAGTAAACTTTATAAGCAGTGTAGTTTGGTCTGCATATGATGCGTCATGTTCTACCGTGGAATAACTTACTATGTTTATGAGAGCATTTTATGAAACCCCTGCCCTATGCTACTTTCGCAGTAGGCTATTTGCAATCATAGCACTTAGCACTCTTAAATTACCCCAGAAAACAAATATAAATAATACAAATTTTGTTAATAGGAACCAAATAGTCAAACGCAATCGTCTCCTCAGCGTACAGCGCAGACGGGCAACGGAGCAATCACGCGACATCTGTCCACCGACAGTGTCTCAAGTATCAACAGTCTCAGCAGTGGCTCGTCTGCGCCGCACGACAAGAAACACAAGAAGAAAGGATGGGTGAGTCACTTTTTCAAACTAGCTTTATCGTAACTTTTGTCCTTAGTTAAAGTTCCGAATTGTGTCTGGTGTTCGGCGATAGGCTTTTCCTCTATTACAAGAGACTTACAAGTGTAGATAACTGTAAAAAATGTGTGTTTGCACCTAATGTGTACGTACCTTTCGAGGAATAGAAGAAGTGATTTTAAGTTATTATTCGTGTTAAAATAATTTCTTACTTTCCTTTAAAAATACTCATTACTGCAACATTTTTAACCGACTTCAAAAAAAGGTCGTTCTCAGTTTGACCTGTATGTAGGCATGTATGTATGTATATTTGTGCGCGATTATCTCGCAATTGACTGAAAAGTGTTTCTTACACTTAAGAGAAGGTTTTAGAACCTAAATTAAAAAAGAGGGGGTAGTTTATAAAAGAAATATTATCGTGATATTCGTTATCATAGCTATAACTATTTTATTGATATTATAGTCATAACTATGAAGATGAATATTACTATTTTGTAAACGTTTTAATAAATACCCATTGTCTACGACAAGCTGAATAAACTTCGGTATTCATAATAAGTGTACCAGTAGCCCACATTAGAAAGACATGTCTTGATGTGTCCAATAGGTAATATTATGTTGTAGACATTTTAATTAGAACATACAAGTGTTTCATAGAAAATAATGTTTCGTAAAAGTACACGCAACACCTTGCGTATCTAATTCTCTAGCACACTTTTATTATATTTAGTTGCTTAATATCTACATACAAGTATTTGTACAGTTTCATATATGCTCATAAAATAATATAATTATCTACCATGCATGCTACTAAGTACAAAGTCATTGTTGTAGGGACGAGCATTTTGCCAAACACCAAACAATATTCTGATATATAATTTAGAAATTCTGCATTAGAAATAGCAATCTATTTTAATGAACCTGTCTTCTATCCCTAACCAAACCAATTACACAACAGCTCCGCTCATCGTTCACGAAAGCTTTCTCGCGGAACGCCAAGATATCAAAGACAGCGAAGCACTCCTCCCTCGGGCAGTTGTCGTCACAAGACAGCTCCTCGGGATCCCATCACTATGACGACCCGCACACGATCCGAGAGGGAAGCAACGAGAACAGTCTCGAACATTCCCATGAGACGCTCGACGTTAAGGACAAGCCATGCCCCCCGGCCAAGACGGAAGACCAGACCAAAGGTGAGACTATAAAGGAAATTTGTGTGCAAACAATGGATGGCCTGCGTTGAATCAGGTTGAGAGAAAGTTAGGGTTACCTGAGACACATAGGAAAGTTGCTTGTAGGTATCTAATTGAAAATTTACATCGTTTATTTGTATATGGTAACTGACATAGTATCTTACATACTCTCAGTCTCTTAGATCTATAATTTATTTTCAAAATATTTATTGCCTTTTTGTACTTTACACCGTTGTGTGCTGAAATGTCGAACAAATAATTTGTACACCTAAAAAAATATGATTTGTCATGGCTCTATTTGCTTGATGAGTTTTATTATTTTCTAATAGCAAGAGCCTACGGAAATAGCTTAAATTAGATAGCCGTGGATTGTAATTGAAGTTATAATTAGTTTATTACTATGAAACCACTTCAATCTGTAATGAGCCTCGGCTTTTATAACTCTATGTACGTTAAGAAGATTCCAATTAAGTTTACATCGTAATTAATTAAGTTTACCACTGGATGTGGCTTATGTTGCTGTTTATTTTCAGATAAACCAGACGACTCTGGGCTAGTTGATGAGTTGAAGCGGCAATTAAGAGAAAAAGATTTGGTGCTAACAGATATTCGATTAGAGGCTCTCAGCTCAGCGCATCAACTTGAAAGTCTTAAAGACACCGTCATCAAAATGAGGGTAAGAACATTATGTTTTAATTGAATCGCTTTTTGTTATAACAACTCGTAACTGTAAGATTGATATCATTAATTGCGGAACCACCCCAGGGAATAGTCGGTATCCACTTACTTATAATGTAGGTAGTACCTACTATGCAGTAAGTATTCATTAGGGGATCGGTAGTAGTCCATTATACAGATTAAACGCGCTATTTGGTGCTGATTATAGTTTGTGTCGAACAAAATAGTCATAAACGGCCCCTTGTATATAATTATTCTGTTCCGTACATTAAGTATTGATACATTAATACAGTTTTTAGACAGGCTATATAAAAAATGTACGCAATAATTGCTTATGGGTACGCTTTTATTTTTTGCATGTTATGTTTCAATCTGTTAAATGACCTAAAGGCTTGTTTGACGTCTCATTAACATTATTGATTGAGAGATATAATACAGTACAGCTGTAACTTTTTGACTAATCATAGCTTCTGAAATCTATGTATTTATATGAACAAGTTGAAATGTCCTTCTCAAATAAAGGTACACTTCCAGAACGAGATGTTGAACCTCAAACAGAACAATGAGCGACTGCAGAGGCTTGTGACGTCACGGTCACTGGCTGGCAGTCAGAGCTCGCTTGGTACTGGAGGATCTGCTGTCGAGGATCCAAGGAGGTTCAGTCTCGCTGACCAGGCTACCATGCATCAGGTAAGATACCTATTTGTATTCAAATGTAATTCACGTGACAATCGTTTAGTTGAGTTATTATGTAAGTACCTATATGTTAGGTCAATAAAAACAGCAACTATTATTGTTAATGACGATTATTTTGATCGGTTTACATGCAACATGACTGTATCAGTTTACATGTTTACAAGAGAGATAAAACACCTGCCGGAATTTATTCTACTTCCCCTTCAACATTAATTACATTTTAATTCCGGTTAATAACAATGTATAAAATACTTTCTATAGTTTCACACGAGTGCACACACAAATATGTGACCGTAACAATTTTATACAGAGTCGCAGACAAAATTCAGCGTAGCGTTTAAAATTAGTAGAAAATGTCAATTTGGTGATTTCCATGCGCTCGTTGGAGTCACTAATGATAAAACGAGAACAAATTGTCAATTGATCCGTCTTACCACACCAAAACAATGTATAGTAATAGCAATTGAATGAAATTAAATCTCAATATGGGCTGTACAGCTTTAATTTGTCTCTGAGTAACCACATGTTCTACTTTCAGGCGACGCTAGACATGCACTCGCAACCTCTAGACCTAGACTTCAACTGTATGTCATCGACCCCCACCATGGATTTCTCCAAAAAAGGCTCGCCTAAATCGGGCATGGTCGAACCCATATATGGCAATAAGGCCGCATGCGAGCTTAATGAAAACAGCGAGACCCTATTAGTAGCGCTGAATGGCAGCAGTGATTTATTCGCGAACGGACTCAACGCGACAGAGCGGCTCAGCGGAGACTACGACATTAACAGCGTGCTCCCGCCACCGAAGACACGAGAGCTAGCGATAGGGGAAAGCTATTCCGATATCGGTAAGTCTATTTTAAAACACCGCCTTTGTTTACTTCGGGGAAGAAGGATTAATTTAACGACTCATTGCGTTTGTTTAACAGGTGTTGCAGACAGCCAGGGCGATACGACTGATGGAAAGAAGATAGCTATAGCCGTTTACTTGGGACAGCCGGAAACATTCCAAAGATATTTCGAAGAAGTTCAAGATACGCTGACAGAATCAGAATGCAGATTCTACGCCAAACAATCAGCGAGCTCATACAACAATCACTTTGAGAAGCAGTCCAGTTTCGACTCGCCGCGACTATCACAAAACCGCAGCCCCGAAACTGAGACACAAGACTACTCACAAATAAATAAGTCAAACACAAATAGCCTTAAAAGCAATAAATCTACGCACAGTAGTTCGTATAAGAACGTTTATAATAGTGATTCGACAATAAACTGTAACGAATTCACCATAGCTTACACTTATATATCTGGCAAGACTACTTGGCAGAACTTAGATTATATAGTTAGGAAGACTTTTAAAGATTACTTGTCTAGAATAGACTTGGGAACGAATCTCGGTTTGAACACTGATTCGATAACATCGTATCACTTGGGCGAAGCGACGCGAGGCCCTGAAATAGGTTTCCCTGAGCTGTTGCCGTGTGGATATATTATTGGCACTGTCAATACGCTGTACATCTGCTTAGAAGGAGTTGGAAGCTTGGCGTTCGATAGTCTTATACCAAAAAATATTGTATATAGGTAAGTGTGCTTTCAGAAAATGTTCTTTACACAAACGACATAAGGTTGGAAATATTTCTAACTTATTTATGTATTACAGATATGTTTCACTGCTATCGGAACACCGGCGAATAATTTTATGCGGACCGAGCGGCACGGGGAAATCGTATCTAGCGGCAAAATTAGCAGAGTTCTACGTACAGAAGACGCAACGTAGAGGCAACCCTGCTGAAGCCGTCGCTACTTTTAAGTGAGTTCAATTAATTTAATTTCCTGCACATTTTAACTGTGGATCTGAGAAGCTAAACAACATTGTTGGTCGTGTAGTTTTCATATCAACTAATAAGTGTTATTGAATTGAATACATAGTAATTTGTTGAACTATTCATCACAATCATTGCAATAGACAATCAAAACAAACATATTTATGTACAATCCATCAACTACTAAACTAAGAATGCACAGGATTCGTACTGAGTCAATCATTGTTTTTCTGACTGCTAGATAATTTAGTTGACTGTACTATATATATGCTAATTCGTGGATACTAAATAACTACAGTAATTTAGGATGAACTAAATATACTCCTATTAGGCAACTTTTACAAACGTTAAAAATCTCAGATATAAAAAAATTTATCAAAATTACCATTACAGCGTTGATCGCAAATCCTGCAACGAGCTTCGCGCCTATTTGGCTAACATCGCAGAACAATGCGGCGCTGCAGCGGCTGGTGAAGAAGCTGCTTTACCTTCAGTAGTCATATTAGACAACCTCCAACATGCCTCGGCTCTGGGAGACGCCTTCGCTGGTCTCCTACCTCCTGACAACAGAAATATGCCTGTTATTATCGGTAAGTTTCCTTAAAATTATTTCTGGGTAAGTTTTAGCCCCCTTACGCACTAGCACGGGGCCACCTAGGCAGTTCGTATGTCCGGTTTGACCGAGGAGGCGACTAGCCGCACGGTCAACCGCTAGTACGTTATACTCAATAATCTATTTGACTTTAGATTTACTTACTAAACACAGAATTTTGATATAAAATCTGCACAGGATGTGTGACTTATCACACAGATAGATTGGTTACTTAAACTAACTGTTAGTAAGAACTTACATAACAACATACGCCGTTGATAAAAAAAATATTATGTACACACACCCAAATCGCCTATTCAACCTTGAGTTCAACCACAGAATCGTCCAAAAAATGAGTCCATATCAAAACGTAACCACAATGGCCATACATTTCGACCGCTTTTTTGTCTCATCATTTCATGCCTACTGTATTTATACGTTACATTAGATAACCATCAGATAATTCATTTGTTATGCGGCAATTATTTACCATTATTATAAAATGTTACTACAGAATGCCATTTTTGGTCAGTCAATATAAATAAATGCGTCACAAAGATCGTGAGAAACTGATTGGCAAAACAGTAAATCATATACCTATTATTATTATGATATCAATAATAGTTTTTCTCCCTCATATTTTTTCCATAAAAAGGAACTTGATTGACAAGATAAAAGAAATTATTGAATAGAATGAATGTAACGTGTGTAGTAGTTAGCTCACCTTTACGGAAAATCAGTTAGCTTGTTATAATATTACATAAATTATCTGTACTGGTCACTTGTTTCTTCTGGACTGCCTCGTTGGCCGAGTGGTCGCAATTGCGACTGCCGGGCAAGGGGTCTCGGGTTCGATTCCCGGGTCGGGCAAAGGATTACTGGGTTTTTAAAAAATTCTCAGTAGTAGCACGGAGTCTGGAACTGTGCCCGGTATATGGCAATAGGCGCACCCCCCATTACATGGGAGTTGGGACTCATAACATAAATAGTGAAAAGTGGGTGTTACATACATTGTACAGTGGCATAATGTACACCTCTGCCTTCCCCTTCGAGGATAAAAGGCGTGATGTTATGTGGTCACTTGTTTTTGGCGTGAAATAAGGTTTTTTTCTTTCTTCTTTCTTTCTAGTTTATCTTTCATACTCGAGTTGTAAGACTGCTTTACTGATGTCTGTTTTACTGTCCTTGAATCTGTTCTGTATAGTGTATAGATACAGTGGTTATAATCTAGTAGAAATAAATAAAAAGTAGGACTTTTCATAATTTACGAATTTGTTTTAGGCACAATGTCCCAAGCAACATGCAACACGACGAACCTGCAACTCCATCACAACTTCAGATGGCTGCTGACAGCCAATCACATGGAACCTGTCAAAGGATTCTTAGCTAGGTAAGTGAAATTTAACCGTTTTAAGAAACATTGTACCATGATATTTAAAAAAAAAACATTGCCTCACACTAGAATTTTCTCCTGTATCGTGTGTGCGTTTACAAACATATAAGTTCACAATGACATACACATCACACCCAGACCCGGATCAACAATCTGGATAGCACAAAAAGATGTTATGAACCAACCAATAAGGGCGCCAGACGCCGCCGTCTCGTTTCGATTAGGTGCTAACATAACATAAACATAACATCACGCCTTTTTATCCTCGAAGGGGTAGGCAGAGGTGCACATTACGGCACTTAATGCCACTGTACAATGTAACACCCACTTTTCACTATTTATGTTATGAGTCCCATGTAATAGGGGGTGAGCCTATTGCCATATACCGGTATCGATTAGGTGCTTTAAATATAAAATAAACTCGTACTAAGGCAGTAACCGGGACTCATTTCCAAACTTCAAAAATGTAATATATATCTATTCTCAGGTACCTCCGTCGCAAGTTATTCACATTGGAACTCCGACTGGGTCGTCGGGAACCAGCATTAGCTGCCGTCTTGGAATGGCTGCCGGGAGTCTGGTCCACGTTGAACGCCTTCTTAGAAGCTCACTCCTCCAGTGACGTCACTGTAGGCCCGAGGCTCTTCCTCGCCTGCCCCATGGATCTGGAGGCTAGTCAGGTAAGAAATAAATTTGAGTAAAATATGTTCAACGAATTCTCTAACAAATTTAATCAATAGTTAGTAGTGCAACTGCCAAGCAAAAGAATTATACTTTTTATGCAATATCTACATAGATATTGCATAAAAAGTATATTCATAAATTCATAAAAAGTTAATTCTGGGTTCAGAGACTTAGAGACTTACGTCGGAATACTCAAACGCTACTCAAATTTAAGTTGCGCTTAAGTATAGTTCTATCTCCACAAAGCACATACCGACATACTAGATATACGGTAACGATTACTTGTACCAGTTATGTTAAGAGTCCTATGTAATTCAGAGCATTGTTTTACCGTTTGTAATCGGAAACCAAACCCAATATGCTTGGCAGTCGGGATTGCGACCAGTAGGTAAGTAGTAAATCATACTCAGATCATACGAACAATAAATCAGTTGTTTACAAAGAATGGCTCCGGGCGGGAATCGAACCCGCGACACGTTGAGCAGCAGCCGATTATCTAGCCATTACGCCAACTATTCCGTCAAATATAAATCATAAAGTCACCAATAAATAAATATAATCATACAATTTACTAATGTTACATTAATCTTCCCCAGGCGTGGTTCGCAGACGTATGGAACTACAGCATCGTCCCATACGCGTCGGAAGCAGTTCGTGAAGGCATCGCCCTCTACGGCAGACGACGACACGCCGCCATCGACCCGCTGCAGCACATCAAGTCCTCATACCCCTGGAGAGAACCCAACCATTCACATGTAAGTATCACACTAATATTATAAATCTAAAAGATTTCTTTGTTTGGATGTTTATCCGTCAATTACGGTGTAAATACTGAACGGATTTTGATGAAATTTGGTATACAGGCAGGGTAGGTATGGGCTGACTTAGTTGACTTTTCATCCCGATTAAATGCTCCTAGGGGATACAACAGCAATCGTATTTACGAGAACGAAGTCTCGGGCAAAGTAGCATTAAGTATTATTGAATGTGAAGGGGTTAGCTAATTACCCTTTTAAACTGGGATTCCCAACTCACCTTGCCTAATTGTAGAGATTATGGCAAACCCGTCTCATGCAGGGGATGTTCTTAGTCCAGCAATGGACTGTAACGAATTGTACATGATGACATCAGCCATCCCAATCTGTTTCATTGTAGTCAATTAATTTTCAACCATAAAGTTATGCACTAAAGTTGAAATTCTATTGAACAAATTGATAGTTTGATTATTAAACTTAATATGCTAGTCTCTGCATATTAGGGTTGTGTTACTAAGAACTTTTATTCATTAAAAGAAAGAATTTTAGTTCATTTCATAAAGGCAGACTGAAATAAATTTAGAACTGTAACTGACACAATCAATTTTTAACAATTTATACCATCATCTCTAGGTATTTAAGAGTTAAGAATAAATAAAATATGATAATTAATCTGTTTGTCAGACAAGAATAAAAATAGCTAATAAATAAATCTATTTTTCAGACCCTAAGAGCGATAACAGTGGAGGATATTGGCATTGAAGAATCAAATCAAGATTCCACCACAAATAATAACCAGGATCCCTTGGTAAGTATTATAAATATAAGATGTATGTATTGCAAAGTGGCATGATGTACCTAATAGCGATTTTTTTCATATTATGGAACCACGAACAAGTTTACAATTATAATAAGTGTCCCAAGTGGGGACAAGGGGTCTCAGGTTCGATTCCTTGGTCGGGAAAAGTAGTAATGGGTTTTTTAAGAAAAACTCAGTAGTAGCATGGAGTGTGTAACATAAATAGTGAAAAGCGGATGTTACATTGTACAGTGGCATTGAGTGTCGTAATGTGCATCGCCTACCCCTTCGGGGATAAAAGGCGTGATGTTATGTTAGTTTTACAAAAAATATTACCGTTTGTGGACAGTACTATGTAAAAACTCATGGTATTATAGAGAGAATAGTATAGTTTATGTATGTAAGTGTTCCTAACCGTCCTTTATTTATTTGTTACAGTTGAACATGTTAATGCGACTACAAGAAGCGGCGAACTACAGCGGAAACCAAAGTCAGGACTCTGACAACGCGAGCATGGATTCGAATCTCACGCACGACAGTTCGATGGGCAACGAGCTATAACGAGCAACTCCACGCCCCGACTGTATTGTGACGTCACTATACTCTAAGATTTTATACTACCCGCTGGTATTCTGTGATATTGCTTGTCAACGTATTGTCGTTGAACATAAAGTAATACCAGCAGTAATTCCATGCAGTGTATGAACTAAACTGACGTTCCTTACATGTGGATTATAAATATGAATATAAAGCCAAATATTTGCCATATGTACATTATTGATATTTATTATTTACTTATTATAAGTGTTAATTTAGTTGCGATTCTATTAATATTTTTAGTTGTTTTTTTTTCTATATTTTATCGCTAAAATTAATAGCGGTATTTAAGTTAATTTTCAAAAGGTTTTACTCGGCAATATTTGTGTGAATTAGCAAATATCGATAGCATGAGTATGTAAACCTTTTAATGAAGTCTGTTTTTGTTTCTTTTACATACGAGATAATATAATTCCACTCATAAGTGAATAAGAAATAATAACAGTGCCTGGAGCGATGATTTTTCCATTTTTTTACGACGTAATTACAATGTTAGATCTAATACTGTTTATATGAAGCATTGTGGCTTTTACTATTGTTATATTTTTTCAAAGTTAGGATATGAACCGCATTTGTATTACTGAGTATGTAACATATGAAAGTGTAATTTTTATACCATTTTCATATTAAAAATTTCATGTACCTAATATAAAATATTTAAGTGTAAATATGTTTAATATATTTTCATTTTGTATGCGATTACACTAACCGCTATCTATCATAAACAGCGTTACTTTTGTATAGAAATGCGTAACAACTGTGTTACAGTGTTCGGTATGGATTGACTCGTGTGCATAAGTGAAACGTGATATCTACAATCTATGCTTTACAGAAAAATGTGAAATAAAAAATGATTAATAAAAATCATACCGTCTTTCATTTTGTTGTACACCCACATGACAAAGCCTTGATTTTCAATTTCCACGAATTGCATTTCTTTCTGCACTAAGATGACAGGATCCAGGCACCTGTGCAAAAATAAAGTATAAATCTGAAAATCTAATTGTAGCAACTGTTAGTGCAATATAAAATATAGGTAGACTAGAAATAGACTAGCACCTGTATTTGGTTTAGACAAGAAATAAAGAAAACAACAAATTAGTTCGAGGCATTTTATTGAAGTACTTAGTTACAGCAGTTTCATGAAACCTTAGCCAGAAACAGATATGATGGAGCAATTTGGACGGAACCAGTTTTATTTCATATAGGACTAGAATATTCATTTTACATGAGTGCTAAAAGGAACAATTGCATTAGTTTTGGTGAATCCAATATAAATAAGGCACAACCATTAAATTTCAACAATCTAGTATCTGTCACGGACATTTCAAAATAGGACTTATATGACTATATTTTTATCAGAAAGCATCAACAAGCAGGCAGCGATATCAAGGTACAGTGGCAGGAAAGTTGTTAAACTAACTAGTTATGACTATTTCAACAGTAGACAGGCACATATTATACCTAGTCACCTACATTTTTTCATAGTACACCTTGCAGTACATAAACATACGTTTTTTTATATCATACAAACATGACAAAATAGTTACTTCAATTTCTAGTAGTTTTGTAAAAATGAAACAATTAATGTGACAACATTTACAAAATAGATTTTGACAACACAAACTACATATAAGATAGATAATAGTAAATTCTACTATCTAATTTTATTCTACATAAGAATTGCAATGTTACTTAACAGAGACAAAAGTTGAATTACCTATATTTTTATCACAATTAAAATCACCACAGATGAATAATAAATATAAAAATACCTGATGACGAAATATTATCTACTTTTTTAAATGCAAAATGAGGTTTGTAAGTATTTAAAATTTTCAATAAATAAGAATTTCCCACAATAGTCCAATAAAAAAATCTACTTCATTTAAGGAACTTACTTTGTATCATAAATAATTATTATTGCTGTACATCATTAAGTAAATAGTAAGACAAGGAGAATTTAGTCAATATGAACTTCAATCACTGTGAATGTCAAGACTTAAATTTGATAAAGAAGGTACAGGAGATTCAGTAAAGTCTCCCGAGTCATCACTTAAAACTTTACTTTGTTTCTGATCCGACATTCCCTTTGACTGATTATTTCCTGAGACCTTAGATTTATTATTAGAAATACTCAAGGAACTTTTTTCACTAATTAAATCTGCTACATCAGACAGTGAGACTGAACTTTGAGAACTCTGAGAAGTTTGATGTGGGCTTTCTATTGAAACATTTTTATTTAAACTTTTTTCTAATTCATCTTGGATAGATACAGATGACTTTGTCTGTTTATCAACATTTTCCTTGAACTTTGAAACTGGTGATGATGAGAAATCATCCCCGTAACTGAACTCAGCAGTGTCCGCTTCTGACTTGCCGGAATCTTGTGATTTTTTCTCACTGACTTCGGAAGCTTTGGTCTCAATTAATTGTTTATTAGTTATTAGTGAATCACTACTACTTAAAGTACCAGGGTTTGGTGATACTAAATTATTTTGTTCATTAGACACTGACAAAAAATTTGAGCTTTGTTGCTCATTATGACAATCTGTTTCAACAATTGGCAAACCAGCTGTATTAAGCATTTTTTCATCTAAAGAATTAAATGGTTTTAATTCAACATATGAGGTAGAGTCACTGCTACTGTTAGTAGCCAATTTTAATTCACTCATTAATAAAGAAGTCTCATTTCTTGGTCTATTAAAAGTTGTTAACTTGTCATCCCCTCTAGCATCTACACAATCACTGGATTTCTGTGTAATATAATTGGAGCCGTTGTCTGCTGTTTGTAGTATATGGTCTCCAGGTATATATTCAGAACTTGTCTTGTCCCTCGCAGAGTCACTGGAGGTGTCTGTGTCCGAGTTATCAAGCTGTAGTCGCAAGTGTAGTTTGTTCTTTTCATCTGATGAGTTATCTGATTGAGAGTTACTTGTAGTACTACTCTGTGAATCTTCATGGAGAATGTAAGTACAATTTTGCTCTTCTCTATAGTTTTTATCATCACATTTTTCATGATTGTAATTGGAGTTAGCATCTGAACCAAAATATTTCTTCTGAGAGTTTACCATATTTTTAACAAGTGTGAGAAGAATGGGCTCTTTCATATCAGATTTAGGTAAGTTCATCTTCTCAGCCAACTTTTTCTTTCCTTCATATTTGTATTCGGTGCCCTGTCGGGACTCTGGCTTGTAAACGAATAATGTGTTCTTCAGACAGCAAAATTCCAAAAACTCATGGACCACTGATAGAGCCAAAAGACCTTCGGGAACTTTAATTATATTATCCAAATTCACATTCTGTTTCAAATTTTCACATTCATCTTCAAAAGCTAAGAAAATGTTAGCTCTTAGCAACGCGCGTATTTTGGCAAGCGAACCGTTTCTCTCCAAAGCTTCTATTACTAAATCACGAAGTTCAGTATCTTCTGCTTGCGCCATATTATAAATATAGTTTTAATTTGGAACTTTTACGGAGTAACACAGAAAAAGCACTAACAAACGTGTTTGGTTTGCTTGTTTTGCTTGTTGAAACTTGGGGTGAAACATTGAGGGACGCGATTCGATGAAGTCGTCACCATTTCACTTCGTATAACTTTAAACATTACATTGACAGCAGGTAATTCAAATACCCAATCCCGTTAGTTAGAGCAGAACCAACATAAAAATTATGCTAAACTTATGATCTTTTCTTATCAGGAACTGGAACATGCCCAGTGTCAATTTATGATTTTGTTGATTTCTTAGTGGCGCTAGTGGCGGATTGGTTCCGTTCAGAAATAGCAAAATTTAAGTTTAAAAGCATACAAAATTAACGCGGCATTATAAAGACGTGTATTAGTAATAAAAAAAATTCTAAATAGTATAGAAAATTGAAAATCCAGAAATTATAGTCTAAATTAAACTTGGACGAACTGGTACCTACACCAAGATAAAATAAAATTGTAAACGGCATGAAAACGTAGATCTACAAAATGTAATAAATATCTCACCACGAATTTTTAGTAGGTTTTGTAAAAAGGGATAAGTGTAAAAAATATTTTTTAAACTAAGAAGCCTTCGTACTTAATTTTGTAGAGCCTAGACCTATTTAGATAGGTAGTGCCTATCTACCTACCCAAAATAAAAACTACTTAGCTCTCATTTCTTCGCTTTACAAACAATTCTAAAATAATTCTTTTTAGATAGGTACCTACGTAAAAAGAATTATTTTAGAAATCATTAGGATTTAGAAAAGGAGTAGGTACATTTATTTAAACTTTTACTTAAGTGATAATAAAAAGTATGATAATAATAAATTAATAAAAAAACACATCAATTCTAACTGGCGAAGGAATACCATGTTCAGTTCAAGACCGAATGTGAATATTTAAAGCACGTCAATATTAGATTTGGGGTAAAAAGCATAAAAAAACAAAAAAAAATTTTAAATAAGTATGGGTACATCTAGACATTCGCTGTTATATCTTTGCGAACGTGCTCGATTACAAGGGGTGAAGGCTTGCGCCGGGAAATGTAGGAAATTCAGTCAGTCGGGTCGAGTGAGCGTGGGAGGTCGGTACGGTGCCCGCCTCGAAATTTAACGGCATAATGAAACTTTTAGTCCATTTTCCTATCAAATCCTGAGTAAAACATTGCAAAAAAACTAAAAAACAGTGTTTACATTGTTATGTTTGAGCATCGTGGGCAAAAATCCTAAGAATGGTTGTTTAATGTGTTGAAATACTAGTGGCGGGAAACCGTTTTGATATCTCGCTTGACGTGTTGTGTCCTATGTGTACGTAGAGCGAGAGGAGCCGTCTGCCCTAGAGGGCGGCCGACATGCTGGATTCATCGTGAATCGATATTTTTGGAACGTTGTAGAGCAGAAACCATGAGGTTCGAGGCTCAATAAAGGTACGACAGGTTATAATATTAATAGTTTCCGTTCACCCGACTACACCCAACTCATTTAGCAAAATATAACTGCTGCGGTGAACGACGCTATCTGGGTCCCACGTTGGGCTCCAGTATCCCCCCTCCGTCTACAGCAGCTGCTCTCCCAATGTTTTAGTTATTATTGTGCAATTAAATGGTTTTACAAATTGTTTTTAATTTAATTTTGAATTTACATAGTACGTCCTTCGTCAGTCGTTATAATTTTTTTATAGAAATTCAGTGTGCCTGACTTTAATTTCGTTTAAAAAATTCAACTAACCGGGTTTTTCAAATTCGATATTTTTATAAATAAATCAAGAGTCTGTTGAGTGTACTTTAGTGATTACGTAACGATTTAACTTGTTGTTTGCATTCACGTGTAGGTAAATTACCATTTCAAAACACGGGGCCAGAACATGGAAAAGAATTTAGCGAAGGATTTATTCTTTAATCTGTCTTTATCAATGAACTCGCCTGTCCATGATTTATTTAAGAACAGTTTTATTAAGCCGTAGATAAATATCTGTGATACACACTATTGATTATAAAAGTTGGTCTAATTAAGTACATATAGTAGTTACTTACCTATCTATGAATTAAAATGGTTTTAAAAAAGGTTATTATAGCTAACTGTTACCTATATGTAAGTATACGTACAGTTTCAAATATTCAGATTGAATGTACAATACTAGAATTTTAGAGAATGGGTTGGCTTCTAAATTTCACGTGGTGACCCGAGATGTCGCGTAAAAATCCCGGGAAAACCGTGTGTCGAATTTGGCGCCGTGCTCGCACGGGCTCGGGGGGGATTAGGGCTGTGCATACCAGTCTCTTGTGGCAGATATCAAAGCTACAAACCAAACATACTTATGTTTGTGCATATTCATATGTTTAGATAGAGTGGTAACCGTCTTAAATGAGAACAATACTAAGGGACCGCCCGAGGGCAAATACGTTGGTGTATAATTAAATTGATGGCTGACTGATGAATTAAAAAGCAACGTGACATTATAATGTTTAGTAAAAATTAAACTTGTGTTAGATTTTTGGTAGAAAGAATTATTAATAAACTGAAAATGTACTTATCGGAACGTCGCTGTCGTGGTATCGAAAATAAGGTGCCATTCGGTTACCTACGTTTCATACAGAGTGTAATACAAAGCAAGGCCCAGTTAATGCCAGTGTGTAGGTGCCTAATTAGCTTAGGCAATCCTTTTCACTTTTGGCCTTTTTGGGACTTGCCTAATCGCTGTTATATTTCGCACATGCTCGTTATCTACTAATTATTATAAGGTTTATACAACAAGATTATATTTTACTGTAACAGTGTTAGGTACCTACATAAGTAAGGTATATATTATTTTTTATTAAAACATGAAGGATTGATTAGATGAACTGATGATAAATTGAGACACTTAAGGTTTTGACTGCCAGTAGAAAACTGTTGAAGGCAAATCCTCCGTTAACGTCGGTCACCATGGTGTTCAATGTGTTAAATTTGAATTCTAATTCATTAACCGATTTTACCAAACCATATAACGTATTACATTTTTAAATTTGACATTTCGCTGTCACACATAAAGTTGAAAAAACATATTGAAACAACTACCTACCTACATACTGAAAGACACAAATCCCGCAAACAAAATGATCACAATTCAAAAACCGAAATATTCATCGAAAATTGTAGCTGATTTAATAAGCAAAAAATGAGTAATCTTCTCGGTCTTTAGACCCTTCCGAAATGCCGGCGGCATTATAGTCTAGGTCCAGATGTGGCTTATTGATTTCCAGTGACCGACTGCTTTCTGACCTCCGCAACCCAATTTCTGAGATGTATTGCTGTCCTTCACTGTCCAGCTATTCTTGAAACACCTGGAACAAAGACAATGAGCTCGTTAGTTAGGTGGGTTAATTTATATAGATAACTAGGTACTTAGCTGTCACCTGTGACGTCGTTTGCGTAGAATAAGATTCCTTTTTTATCCCATGAGAGATTTTAATCGTCGAAAAATTATCCGATCACTTAAGTCAGCCCTACCCTGTATAACTACCAAATTTCATCAAAATATGTTCAATAGTTTCATTCTGTCAACCACAGACAAACATTCTAACATCCAAACAAATAAATTTTCACATTTATACTATTAGTGTGATTGCATAAGAATACTAGTTTTAGTTCAATTGAGAAGCCTTTATAATGGGACCGGGAAAAGTTCATCTTTAAAATGTTAAAGAATAATCTTTGTAAAAACAAACCATTAAGATTTGTAAAACACCTAAGCACGAATAATGCCCACCATCCTTAAATCTGAATAGTTCATTTTAGTAATTATAATAATCGTGTCTAAATACATAACTACTGCCTTGCCTAGGATTCTTTTGTCTTTTAACAAACGACGCTGAAAATGTCTAATTAAATACCCACAGGAAAAGTCAAAAGGAGCTGGAGAAAAATAACCCTTTGACCGAACAACGGGCGGAAAACCGCCAAAGTAGTCTGGACGTCTATTTTAAGATTAAGCAGTACCTAACAAAAGAATTTTGGAACAACTTAGCCGGGTGTAGAGGGATTAAAACCGCAAACTGTTCGGACGAAGTCGCTAGCTCAAGCTAGCCCGAAGTTGGGCAAAAGACTTTCTTTCTTTCCTTGAATAAGATTACTTACGTGATAAGTTCAATACAGTGAAATAGTTCAGGAGTGTGTGATAAGGCATGTAAACATGTTAGGTTGCCCACTTTGTATCTTACGCTATAACTGTAGAGGCGATGGTCGAAATTAGCTTGAACCGCTATTATAAATGGGAAAAATTGTGAGTTTGTGTGTAATTTTGTTACTCAGTCACATAAAACGGCTAAAGGGACCGGGATGAAATTTGGAATTGGGTTAGGTATATTATGGTCTGGAGTAATACATAGGCTACTATTTACCCCCGAAAAGCGGGCGAATCCGATGGTAGAAAGTAGTCTCTCATAAAAAATAAAGTTAAAAATCGCAAAAAAATTTAGTCAGAGTGCTTGTCGAATTATCGTATTTGCGTTTCCATCTATGACGTCACATGAGCAAGTCCTTAACACGTAGGTATAACTAACCGTTCTGGAGATCAGGTGTATTCATTCCTTACAAGGGTTTAATTCTGATTTATTTCAATTGTTCAGCTGTAACGGTCTCTACACTTTGATTTACGTTCGTTTTAAATAAAACATTCAGTACTTAGTGTCTTTGCTTGCAATTTTGGCGCTGAGTAAAATTTATATTGTCCGGGATACCTATTCATTTTGAGTGAAACTAGGTCACTTATAAAAGAATTTTGAAGATCGGAACCGTTTTTTGGCAGCAACTTTTTATAATATTATACTCTTACAATTTTGGCAACATTATAACTGACCAACAGCGTTTATTTTGCCTCAAAAATAGAATACAAAACATTCAACAAACATAAGGTAAATTAAACCTTAATAAACAGGGAAAAAAGAATCACTGATCTACTTAAATACACTGAAACATTCATAACCAGTTTAAT